CCATCTTGGATTTATATTTCAACAGCACTATCAGCTTCAGCACTCTCGAAAACCATGAAAATGACACTCATGTTTTTTTATTAGTGATCAATGCACCCATGACGAAAAAATTGATACCTATTGCAGCCGCCATCTTAGATTTACATTTCAACCAGCACTACGGCTTCAACATACTCAAAAACTATGAAAATGGCACCCATGACGAAAAAAATGATACCTATTGCAGCCGCCATCTTGGATTTACTTTTTGTTACCACTATTGCCCTATTAGCTTTAAATAGCCTCAAAACCGCCGCATTCTGGATGTACAAATAAGTTCACGAATTCATTATGATCGATCACACGGACTTATAATTGGATAACGATTATAACAATGACAATAAAAATCATTCTTACCTTTCAAAATCAGCAGGAAGCTTAAAATAAGTAAGCTCCGGTTTTGATGAAGCCGAGTTCATCCGTATACTACGCAATACGTTCGTGGCATTTTTAAAGTCTTGAGGCGACACTCGCTACTGAGAGCACCGCGACGAGCGCTTAGAAGTCTCGTCGTTGCGCATGTTTGTGTGAGTGTGCCGTTTCGAGCATTTGTAGGAAGTTTCCGTACTGTTCCTACTATATATTTACTGTGCCGGAGACCCGTTTTACTGGAAACGAGGCATTCCGTCTTAGTCCCCAGAGGTGACAACGCATTTGCAATTTGATTCTTAATCGAAGATAAATGGATGTCTATGAGCCACAGCGGATAGCACTTACCATCAGGTAGACTGTGTGCTCGTTTGTCTCCTATATTTTATAAAAGACAAAAAATATCTTATTAAATTTTGAATCTTCACTGCATTCTTTGTTTTTAAAACGGGAAACAGATATCTATGGGCTACAGCATCCACTTACGATTAGGTGAACTGTGTGCTCGTTTGTCACCCGTATTCTAATATTTTATATAAAAAATAATTTTTGTTTGTTCGTGTTTTATGCCCAGCCATACCGTTTATTAGATTGCGTTAAAACTTTGCAAACTTATTGCTTGCACTTGCGCGAAGGTTATAGGAATAGTACAATTAATTTACAGTAGGTGGCGCGCGTATCGTACCACCGAATTTATTTGAAAGTTATATATCATTCAACTTCAATGAATGTATTATTATTAGTTATTATGCAATATAACTTCCAAATTTAAAACGATATTTCCACAATTATTTCTTCTGTGGAAGCCGGGTAAGACCTAGTTCTATATAAAAAAAAAATACATAAATTTATACGACACATAAGTACTTGCACATGGAAACAAATTTTTTTTTCACATAAGCTGTTCTAACAAGAGGACACATTGCATAAATTATTGATTAAGTTATTGAGCTTAACTATTCATACAATTTTATTCGTTTATATGAATATATATATATCTATACTTTTAGACTAGATATATCCATAACGTATACCAGTATAGTTTCATGATTAAAATTCAAAAACATCTACAAATTATACTACCGAAAGGGGGCACCCGGTAAGGTTAAAAAAATATTAAAAATTAGCTGATAACCGCGACTTCGTCCGCGTTGTTTGATATATGCGAGAGCAAACGACGTAGGTACAGTGAAAAACCCCGTAAACTTAAAACTAATAACTTTATATTAAATGAAGATATCGCAATTTTTTTTTTTTATATAAGGGCCAAGTGTCTAAGAAATAAAACTTAACTGAAGTCTATCCAGTAGTTTTTCCGTGATGCGCGCACAACTACAAACCTCTATCATTTTGTTTATATAGATATTTGTCTACTCACTTATTCATATAGTAGACTTGTGTTACATACATTATAAAGTCCACTAAAACAAAGTCACGTACACAACTTGTAATTAATAAACCTGAACAAGTCCGTTAGATGGGATAGAACGCGTTAGTAATACGCTACATTTCATCTAAATAATTCCAGCTTCTTAGAGCCATTAGTCGTAAGTGGATATAAAAAAATTATAGAAATATGCCTCGACGCGACGGTGAAAGCAAACCATGTCATCGATGCATGTAATCAATTCGTCTTACGTTGGATAGTGTTTGTAACAATACTTTATTGATTGTAAAGTTAATAGCCTATGTCGAGAAAACTGATACGGCGTGTAAATAGGCACGCGTTTTTGGATTATATCATTGTTTTATTAATTTATAGGTATTATATAAATAAATAGTGTGAAAATCAGATTTATTTACCATTATGAAAGTATACTTTTTGCTCGCGAAGAATGTTACTTATTAGAAAAAAAAATTTGGTTCTGGTTATTAACCGCGATCTTTTTTAAATCTGATAATATTAGGTTTATTATACCTATAAAAATACTGTTTTTAAAAATCAAACAATTTTTTCTATAAAAATTACTTAATTGAAGTATCGGCCATTATTGTCGATGAATTTAGGAAGCCACTCTGCAGCAGTTTTGTGGCTCCTATGATACCAGCGTAAAGTAGCTGCATAATATTGTTGTTTTTCGTAAGGAAAGTGTAGAGAACCGAAGGCCTTATAAACCGGAAGCGAGGCATTCCATATTAGTCCACAGGGGTAAAAACGCATCTGCATTTTAAACCTTTGTCGATGATTCGTGAAGTTGTTTATAGGCCACAGCATCCGCTTGCCACTGGACTGGCCGTTATTTTTACTTTCTTTTTTTAATTATTTAAGGGCGTATTTGGGAGGCGAAAACGATTGAGTGGCCTTTGTTTTTTTTTTAGCTTATATACTTGCGGCCACTTGCGGCTCTATATTTCCCGCGCATTGGAAAGAATAGAATAGAATTTTTTTGTACTCAATACAAATTATAAATAATTCTTATTAAATGTCAGTTTCTTTTTTAATTTTACTACTGAATCGAAAAAAGTTACAAATACGTGACAATAGGACATTATACGTCTTATTACAAGTGGTAAAATTAAAAATTTTGTACAACCGACTACAATATATGTTATTAAGTATAACTCAAAAACTACTGGTCAGACCTTGATCAGATTTATATGGAACCACATAAGAAGCATCAGCTTTCAAATAAAATCAAATCATCATCGGTTCACACATAAAAGATACAGTCGAATTGAGTACCTCCTCCTTTTTGAAGTCGGTTAAAAAGTGGTTTATTGGTTGTCTCGGATTTAATATACGCTTTAAGAAGTCAGGCAGCCCCAAAGTCCTCGCGATATTTGACATTTGCTGTCGAAACTCCATACTTTACATTTGTTAGGTCGTATATTTCTTCGGGACTTCTTACGTGAGACAGATTCTAGCTTAAGTCTGACACTAATTATAAACTACTTTTTGTATTAGGACCGTATTGGACAAAACACCAACTATACTCATAACCTAAATAAAGATTAGAAATATCCTTATGCACATATTTATTCTTTAACTACAACATTGCAAAGAAAATTTCAAACCCCTTATTTAAAAGCGTGTTGAAATGTTTATCTATAAGTATTAATGGATTATACGCTTCTAAAGTAATATAAAAACGAGTTACCACACGTTTTCACTCTGATATTACTAATGATCTGGTATGAGTTACAAGTTTAGTTACAACGTACCTAACGGGTCCTGCTACAAAAATGCATTTAATTGGCTCTGAGAGCAACGGGTTTGATTCCCAGACGAAACAAGTATTTGAAAAGACTAATTAATATATGAGAAATGGAGAAAGGAAAGAAGATATAGTAAACATATTTCTCGGGTATAGATGTTGCCAACTTAAGTAACTTATGTATTATACAAACGTCTCCACGATGTAGGAGTAATTCCGCTAATTACCGGTGTGGATGTTGGGTAACATTTTTAAATTCGGTTCAATCAATCCCATGCTTCAACGGAATAGATAAAGAACCGGTAAATGTAAAGATAAGGGTATTAGGCACCTATTTCAATTGAAATAATCTTTTATGATCTGTCAAATAGAAGTTATTCTATAGTATATGAATAATGCTCATTGTCGTTAATTCTTTCTTATAAGTAATTAAACAAATTTTAATATATTACAGAAATGTAACTTACATTACTTACATAAGACGAGTTAAGTTATAATTTAGATGGCTCCGTGGCGCAGTGGCTAAGCAATAAGTTGGCAAGGGCCACGGGTTCGGATCCCGCACGGAATAAGTATTTGTATGGCCTACAAATAATTGTTCCAGATCTGGATGTTTGTCCTTGTGCAATTTATGTATGTAAACTGCCTCGACGATACAGGATAAATCCTAGTGTGGGGGTAACGCGTTTTATTTAAAGGCACAACCAGAAGTACCATTTTTAAGTGAAGTTTTTATAAAATGAATAAGGGAGACACAAGTTATCTGTTGAGCGCTGTATTTTAAACTCACTCTTATGGCGACAGCCATACGATATACTTCATTATTCTTAATTTACCCTCTTACGTACTAACAACTATGCAGTAATTTAATAAATATGTCATTAATAACTCAATAACATTAATAAAACTATGCATTCGATGTTTGATGGTGGCATAAGAGTACACGGAGACAAACGAGCACACAGCCCATCTGATGGTAAGGGGATGCTGTAGTCCATAGACATTCTTTATTTTTTTTATAGTATAAAGAGTGACCAACGAGCATGCAGTTCACCTGATGGTAATGGTAAGTCAATGCTGTGGCGCATAGAGGTTTCCTCGATTAAGAATCAAAATGCAGATACGTTGTCACCCCTGAGGACTAAAATGGAATGCCTCATTACTAGTAAAAAGGGTCTAGTTCTCATCACCCACCATGGTGAAACACATTAGATATGATATTAGACAATATTTCACAATAGCATTTATGTGCGACTTGTTAACAAAACCTAAAAGATAAGATCAGCAACTGTCGCTATTCTCGAAGTTTCTGTTAAGCAGCGGTTTAAGTCTGTATTGGTGAAACTGTCAAGGCACTACACATTCATTCACAAAAAATAGTGATATCAGGCATATTTGTTAACCGAAAAGCTAAATTAACATTCCACCGTTCTTTAGGTCATGGTTCCCGTCCGCCATCCGCGTCGCTACCGACGCCGGCGGCACTGAAGAAGGAACCCGAAGATCCGGCGCACAGAGTCAAGTTGGAACCTCACACACAGGCATCGGACGACGCTAACGCCGAACTTGGCGTTGACGGCATCAAGACTGAGATCGACGGCCTCATGGATAGTGACGGTAAATTATCCTTCGTTCTTTTTTAACCGATTTTTTTTGGTAAAATATCAAAACGTTCATCTTCACCCGCGAGGACTGATTAAAGATATTGTTGTTAGAAAATGTGTCTCCGATGTTCTTAAATCGAATCACAGCAAAAAATCTACTTCGACCCCGTAAAAATATTTACCTGAAAAGAGAAAAACAATCTCTAACTGTGTAGCCTACAAAACAATGTGAGTATATCGTTCCCCTCTCCCTCTTCCTTACATACTTCCTAAATCATGTAGTCACGTCTTTAGTAGTCTAGTAGTAGAAAGGATGTTGCTGATCATGAGGTCACGGGTTAAAATCCCGGGTCGACCCAAGTAAGTTATTAGGTTTTCTGTCAAGAAATTCTCAGTAGCAGCTAGTAACACAGACTCAGGAAGTTGGCGGTTTTGCCCGCGTGCCTCGGAAAGCACGTAAAACACGTAAATCCGTTGGTCCTGTGCCTGATCTCTCGCCCATTACCGTCCCATTGGACTGTGAGAGTGAGGGAATTGAGAGTGCACAAGTACATATATGCGCAAGCACAAGTTAGTGCTTGCGTATACACTTGGGCACTATAACTAACCTAATTGACTCGACTAACTGACTTAGACTGACCGCCGCCCTGGCCGAAATTCGGTTTGGAGGATATTATTGTTATGACTTTGTCTTTAGCTCATCCAGCTCTGGTTGCTTTCATAAAAGAAATTTCCATCAGAGGAATTCGGTTATGAAAAAGCAAAGCAAATTTATATAGCCGTGGTAGAGCCATGATGAATATTATGTATTATAGCTGCAGCACGAATGAGTCGGGTTGGTAATCAAAAGACAACTGTAACCCTTTTTTCTGGTAAGGATTTTGACTCTATGCTGTACACATGTGTGTCTGCATTTTGATTCTTAATCGAGTATGTTTTCGAGTGTCTTTTTTTTCTTTTCCTCTTTATGGAAGAGGAGGCAAACGAGCATACAGCTGACCATATGGTAAGTAGTATGGTAGTAAACATCTAGAACATCGGGGGAATTGCAAGTGTGTTAGCGGCCTTTTAGAAAGGAGATAAACTCTATGGGCCATAATATCCATTTACTTACTATCATGTACTCATCGTGACTGTTTACTCGTTTTTCAGCCTTTTACATGTATAAAATATATACCTACTTTAAATACTATCGTTATCGAGTTATGATAATAAGCTATGAAAATTATTTTGACTTTAGATACTTATTATCACTGCCTACTCTTAAAATTTTTTGGTGAATAAATTATACCAATTTAAATGAATCACCTATACGCATCCCTTAGCTTTGTCAAATTTTCCGACAAAAGCTCATTGGCTCAACCATTTTCACTCGAAACAACAAACGTAAAACTGTAAATGTCCGACATTGCTTTGACAAAGTAATGTAATCACACGTGTTTTGCGTCGACGTAATCCTTACTGCAACCGGAAACTGTTGCTTCACAATGCTCCTCAATTATATCGTGTCGTAACGTTCACTGATCATACAAATAATGCAAAAAATACATCAATTCTAAATATTCCATCGCTTTCCAACGTGGCGTCTTTTGTTTCTATTTTTAAAAATTGCGGTGTTGTGGATTTTCTTTTCCCAACGTCCCGTAAACAAAATGTCAAAAATGAGCTTGTTATAGGATTTGCCATTTCGCTATGCTAAGCAGTCGAATGTTCATGGTAGTACTAGATGTGTCGTAATTTTGTTGCTGCGTCTCATCGCTGACCTGGGTATCTTTTTAAATTAATTTTAAATACTTCATGTGTTAAAGAAAACCATGCCTTTAAGAGCCCATTGGTAAAGCATTGATATCAGGCCGGAAATTTTGAATTAAACTGATAATACGGTTTATATTTCGTTTTAACTATTTTGTGGACTGGGTGCTTGACACACATGACCATGGGTATTGTATAGCAGTCGAAACTTCGACAGTTAATCATTTGAAATTTAACACGATTAAATCAATAGAAGTATTTCTATTCTATATCTGTATATCTGCTGATAATATGAGAAATAAGCCTCTTCATAGGCCTCTTGCATATCGTAGGCGAATTCTGGTCTTCATCGTTACGTTTGTCAAGCGAATGACCAAATTTTCGTCGTCTTAAATATTTTAACTATTTAGGTCTATATTGTACCAATTAACCATCTCAAATATATCACAAACCAATCATGAAAAGCAGGATCGATAGCCAATATGCCTGCCAAAAGTGCCGCTTACATCAAACCCGTCGAATTTAATTGTGGTAAACCTGATCTGTGTAATTGTTATGTAGTATACATCAGGTGTATAACAGGTAATTAGGGACTGGTTGCCAATAATATCCCCACCTAATCTCAGGACAACTTCGAAAAATTAACAGACAGTCAATTAAATTTTCATTCAAAACCTATTAAATTTAAACTTTGTAAAATATTAAGTTTGGACATCCATAGTCAAGTCAAGATCAATAGTCAAGACATATTATTGCACACATACATTTAAAATTTTCTTTTCCGAAACTTGATTGGCACTTTGTGTCAAATTTATTATAAATTAATAATTTTGTCTGTATTTCAGGCGACCCCACAAAATCACCATCTTGCGAGATGGGTGGCCCTGGGTCCTTGAAGTCGGAGCGCCTGTCATCCGACTCCAACGATATTTTGGACCCACAAACCGGCCTACGAGGTTCTACTGGGAACCTGCAGGTAAAAAAAGTAATACACCTTTTACATTATTCGCATGTAGCATGTTGAAAAGTAAATTAGTTTTTTGAAAATAGAATATGAGAAGCACTGTTAAGCAAGTCTAGCTTAAGTTGTGTTTTTAGGCTTGCAAAATGCATGTATGTATCTAGCCGTGTAGTATCGGCGTAAGAATATCCCCTGCATGCCAAATGTGATAACTATGATGCAATATAATGTAGATTCCTATGTTCAGTTGTGGACTTTTGATAGACTTTAATGATGATGATTTTGACAGCAGTCTTTATGAGATAATAATTCTGTTAATTGTTTTCTAAAAGTATAATTGACTTGAATAGAATTTGACGGCTCCGTGGCGCAGTGGCTTAGCAATCAGTTGTTGCGCTGGGGGCCGCGGGTTCGAATCCCGCACGGAACAAGTATTTGTATGGCCTACAAATAATTTTTCCGGGTCTGGATGTTTGTCCTTGTGCAATTTATGTTTGTATACTGCCTCCACGGCACAGGAGAAAATCCTAGTGTGGGGGTAACGTTTTAAAAATAAATTCTTATTAGTAAATCAGTGTTGGTTATTACTCTTATTTATGTATTAAAACCACCATTTATATATGGTGACGAAAGTGCATGCGTAATTTTAGGTTTAGGTATATAATCCACGGAGTTCTATGGTCAGATATTTTCCTAGAAATATTAGGAATGTTTGAAAGCTCCGACGCACGTCAAAAGGTTCCGAAAATTCGAAAAGTAAAATTCTGCGGCTTTTGTGTTTACATATTTAATATCAGTCAACAAACTATGTTTAACATGATGTTATTGAGTACAAGCTTAAAATGTAATTTTTTTAGATACTTAATATAAAAATAAAATAGAAAAGTAATGTCAGACGACCGATATTATAGAGTGACTCACAGATCTCAGAGTACTGAAACTTAATGGTCTATTTGAATGATCGACCCGAATGACCCGCTTCGTAAGACGAATCAATACTTAAATGATCGGGTCACTAGAAATGAATGAATAACACAAGTCTACAAAGTGACCATTTTGATGTTAACAAAGTTAGTGAATAAGTCTGCTGATAGCTTCTTTAAAACATTCTCAAGTTAAAAAGGGCTATAAGAGCTATTTACAATAGGGTTCAATCTCTATAAACGCGGAGCTATCAAGGCTAATTAAATATAAAATTGACAATATTATTAGTGCCGGCGGGGATTGAACTCGGTTTTATTGCGTACTATAATAATAATTGTTTTCAATTCCACAGCAGGATGGAAACCAGAACTGCCGCAATCCGAGTAACGAAGGAATGGGTTCGTGCAGACTCGGCGGTGGAAATATGGGCGGCGTTTCCATGGGCCCGATGTCCAGCGAGGCACAAACACTGCCAGCAAACGTCATCAGCAAGCAGGCCGGCAGCATGGAGGTTAATTTTTTTGTTTGGCACCTTTATTCTATATAAAATATGTAAAAGAAAGATGTGAACTGTTACAGTGTACACAAAATACAGTAACAGACGTTCCTAGTTACAATTCTTAAGGTGAGTACTGACCAGGAGTAATGTACTGACTGTACTTGTAATGAGTACCGACCAGGAGTAATGACTTGTAATGTAATGCCTTGTTTTACATTACATCAGTTATTCGTAATGGAGTTAGGGCTTGCTGCACACATTTGTAATGTTACTAGAAGTCTGCAGGATTGTGTTCATTAAGTCGTGCGTTACTCACCGTTCTAATAGAGTATACTGATGCCCAATAATAACTAGAAATTTATATTATTCATTGATTACAGCCTGTCGAAAGTCCATTGCTGAACATAGGTTTTCTTTGAAATAAATGGGGCGAGGCTTCAGATAAAAAAGAGAAATAGTTTGGAAAACCTAAAACGGCACGCCTCACGAGCGCTTCATAAAATTTTGATGAAAAAAATAAAAATAGTGACGATAATTTTTACAAGAAAAAAAAAAACAAAGAATCTGATCGACTATCATTAATAACTTTCAAACGGTGTTCAATAACAAAAATCAATATGGATCCTCTTTAGAATATATGAAAAAAATTATTTAAATCTAATTAATTTTAAACATTTCAATCTTATCAAATCTTATTTAGAGAAGACTCACCGACGCACGAACCAAGGGACGGCGGTCCATATATTTTTTCAATTACATTTTTTTTATGTATCATCATCATTATCACAGCCTTTCTAAGTCCACTGCTGAATATAGGCCTCCCCCAAGGAATGCCACAAAGCACGGTCCTAAGCCACCTGCCTCCATCGGCTGCCTGCATGTCTTACAAGGTCGTCACTCCATCTAGTGGGAGGTCGCCCGACACTTCCCCTACCGGTACGAGGCTGCCACTCGAGAACCTTTTTTCCCCATCGGTTGTCGGTTCTTCGAGCTATATGGCCGGCCCATTGCCACTTCAGCTTACTAATCCGTTGGACAATGTCGGTCAATCTGATTCTACTGCGGATATCCTCATTCCTAAGTTTATCACGCAAAGAAACCCCAAGCATAGTCCTCTCCATAGCTCGCTGAGTGACCTTAAGCGTTCTCATACGGCCAGCAGTGAAGGACAACGTTTCAGATCCATAAGTCATCACTGGCAACACACATTAGTTGTACAATCTTGTTTTCTGGTTTTGACGTATACCTGACGAGAAGATATGTCGTAATTTCCCGAACGCTGCCCAGCTGAGTTAAATCCGTCGATTGACCTCTCGGTCGAAGTATGTTTTACCTAGTCGGACTATTTATCCCAGGTAAACATACTAGTCAACAACTTCGAGCTTAATGTTCCTAACAACTACCGGCATAGGTGTGACATGGACATAAATGATCTTTGTTTTGTCCATGTTCATCTTAAGACCTATCCATTGGGAGACAATATTGAGGTCATTGAGCATAGTGCTTAGGTCCTCCAGCGATTCTGCCATAAGGACATGTCGTCGGCAAATCGAAGGTGAGTCATGTACTCGCCATTGATGTTGATACCGTATCCTTTCCAGTCCAGTAGCTTAAAAACGTCTTCCAATGCAGCGGTGAAGAGTTTCGGGGATATAACGTCACCCTGTCTTACACCTTTCTGCAGTTGAATAGGTTTCGTACTCTGGTTCTGTACTCTGATAACCATTGTAGCCCTACTGTACAAACACTTCAGCACTTCCATATACCGCAGTCTGAAGGGACTGCAGCACCGCCCAAATTTCGACGGAATCAAAGGCTTTCTCGTAGTCCACATACGCAAGACAAAGTCGCAGATTATACTCTTCTGTCTTCTGTACAATTTGCCGAAGGGTGTATTTGTGGTCCATGGTACTAAAGCCTTTTGGAAACCGGCTCCTTCGGGAGGTTGGAAGTCGTCAAGTCTGCGTGCGAGACGATTCGTAATGACTCTCGAAAGCAGCACGTAGACGCGGCACAGAAGGAAAATCGGTCTGTAGTTCTTCAAGAGAGCGTTTTCGCCTTTCTATAAGAACAAGACCACCGCACTTCTGCTCCACGCTTCCGGAGTAGTCCCACCATGGAGGACGGAATTAAAAAGCTTCTGAAGGACTTCAAGTACCGGTTTTCCACCCACTTTCAGAAGCTCAGCTGTAATTCCATTCTCGTCTGGGGCCTTCCCGTTTTTAAGGTGCTGGAGAGCCATTCTAATCTCGCTCAGACTGATGTTCGGGATATCATCGGAATAGTGATAAGACTTGCTCTTTGAACGTTACTCATACTTGTGTGTGGCTCCAACGATGACGTGTACAGCTGCCCATAGAACCTCTCAATCTCACTCAATCTCAGGTGTCCGGGAAACGATGCTGCCACACTCGGTCTTCAGCTTTGACAGTTGGCTCTTTGTAGCAGACAGATCTCTGAACTTTGGAGCCCTAGTTCTGCTTGATCGCTTCTTCAATACGAGCAGTATTAAAGTTGCGTAAGTCCCGCCGCATGCATTTGGAGATCTGTCTGTTCAGTTGCCTGTCTGCTATAAAATCTACTGAAGACTGCAGCTTCATTTCCCGTCTAACAGCTATGAGATTAAGAGTGTGATCGGAGAGTTTTTGTGTTCAGTTGCGGCGGGTCTTGCAGAACTTAGGGCCCCATGGACAGTTTCCACGAGCTTGTCATTCATATCGTCCACTGCATTGCAATCTTCTAGGCACTGAAAACGGTTCTGTAACTCGCGCTGAAAGGTTTCGTGACTTTGGATTAGAGCACGAGGGGGACGGAGCGTTGACTTCATTAGATGAGACCGCTCCAACTTAACTTTTAGGTTCAGTGTGCCTCTAACCATTCGGTGATCGCTACCAGTTTTCACCCTCGCGATCACTGAGACATCACTGAACAGTTGGGGTCTAGTCGTCATAATGAAGTCAATCTAATTTTTTGTCGAACCGTCGGGGCTTCTGGAAGAAAGAGTTCATCATAAAGAGTCCCTCTTTCTCCATGAAGTCGGCCAGCTGCTGGCCCCTTTGGTTCCGTTGCTCTATCCCGAATTTTCTTGCCTTCAGCCCACTGTTCTCTCTTGTGCCTAGTTTTGCGTTGAAGTCTCCCATTACCGTATAGTGGGTTTTGGAGGAATGCATGGCTTTAGAGATATCCTCATACATTTACTCCCCCTCCTTATCGGGATATGCCGAGGTTGGTGCATAGACCTGTATGACCTTCAGCGAATATCGTTTGGTGATTCTGAGTATAACCCTCGTAGACACACTCAAACAACGTTATTAACGAGAGACGTGTGGACGATAAATCCGACACCTTATTGGAACAGATGGTCGCCCTCCTGGTGATAGAACAAGTTTCCAAATTCAAGGATTATTGTGTCCTTCCCTGCTCTTCGGACCTCAGATAATCCTATAATATCCCAGCGCTTGTCTATCTCTTCTTCCAGTTCCAGGATCTTCTAGTCAGTCCTCAGGGTGTGTGCGTTGTATGTTGCCAGGTCGAGTTGTCTTAGGTGGTAACCGAATCTCCACCGGAGATTCTTAGCACCCCTTTACCATGGTCGCCACCGTAGCCAGGAATAGCGGGGCCGCCGGGGACTGAGGGCCGTCTCTTCGTAACTTTCGTCATGGGGGGGATGTTTGCCATTGTTGCCACGCTTGGCGAGCGGGTTGGCAACCGCAGTTTTTTATTGTAGTATTTTTGTCATCAGAAGGACTGCTGCCCATCTCCTGTCTGTTTCCCACTATCGCCTCTTACGACACCTACGGGAAAATATGGGGTAGTGAATATTCTTAACCGCCTCCTACACGGCACTCTTGTTATGTACTTTGTTATGTTATCTAAAGTGAATCTTAGAAAATGAACTAATCTTATAATTCACTGTCTGTAGTTATTGTAACGTTAATAATAAATGATATGAATTTGATGTCTAGATAAAATTTTAAGAACGATTTCATGTAGCGGAATTGAGGTATGGCCACATTTCAAGAGTAGAGCACTACCTCACGTAGTGATCAGTGCAATAAATTGCCGTTTTTCTCGTGATGTCTCAATGGCCTCTGATTGTCTGGCACACTAGCATTTTAGGAAAACTTCTATCGTACGACTTATCCTGGCCTGTCTCTAAGAGTCGTTGTCGGAAGCAGCTCTTCTTAGCCTTTAAAGACTAATTTCGGAGTTCCTCAGATGTCCGTTTTCCTGCTACATTTCCTTGAACAACGCTGATACATAGAAGATATCACAGCTGTGAAGAAATATCGGCAGAATCCTCGGGCCAGTCGTGATTCCAATCCAGTCCGAAAGAGTTGAGCGAGTGAATCTTTCTCTGCATTCAAATTCCGAATGGGGCAATGGCAATCTTGTGAGATTCAACACCTCCAACACAAGCGTGTCTCTTTACTGTGAAAAGGAGCCAGCTCATCTTTTTTCCAAAAAGTATCAATGGAAGGTATTCCAATGATTCAGAAGAGGAGAGAGATCCGATAGTACAGCCATATCGGCTGGTGCTCCAAACTGTCTCCTAGCAGCTTTGGTCTCAATGGAGAGGCTTGCTAATATGCTCATTGGTGACCAGAATCTCGTTAAAGCTAATCTTACCAATCTGAAGCACAGGCCCGAAGTTTTGGTGTTATACTAAATACATATCGAAGAGTTTGCGCAGGAATTGCATGTCTTAATTCTGCCTTCTCACTATCACTATTGGATAACTAGACGCTTACTATTCTCGACCACATTGTTGCCGCATACTACGCATTGGAACTAAAAGGTTTGCTGCGTCTGTCATGATGCAACGCGGCGAAAGGCGAGAGTGAATTGGTTTTTGTTAAGCTAAATCTATGTGTTTTAATCTTAGTCTTAATCACCTACCATCAGGTGTCATTATAGACTTGAGTTTGTTTTGAAGGGATAAACCTAAACCTTTGTGTTCACCCAGCAGCAGAGCCAGATCTTCGTATTTTCAACGCTGCTGGCAAACAAGAGCGCGGAGGCCGTTATATCGGGACAGCACCATTCGATTATCGCCTACCACTGTGCTCAGCCGAATACTAAGAAGTACCTTGAGGTAATATATAATTTTATTAGAGTTAAACTTGAAAGGCAATGGTTTGAATAATATTGTATTAAAGATATAAAAAATATATATATATGGTTGTGCACCATGTATGTAAAAAAACCGAGGAATATACTCATAATTTTAAGCTTATAAATTTTAATTTGCAGAAACATCCGCTCAAAATCGGTCAATTTAACAAGCAAAGTCCTGCTCAATGGCTCAACAACCTCGCTATGGCTAAAAACCGCAGCGGAATGCGAGGCGGGCCCAACATGATGGGCGGTCCCAACCAAATGGGCCACATGATGGGCGGACCCATGGGACCAAACATGGGTCCTATGGGTCATGCTGGTATGGGGCATATGGGACCAAACATGATGGGTCCTAATCGCATGGTGGGACCTGGAAACCAAATGATGATGATGAAAGGCGGCCCGGGCCAAATGGGACAAATGGGTCCTGGGATGGGTCCGATGGATGGGTTTCCAGGGAGCACCCCGTCCTGTGGTGTCATGGACGGCCTCGGTGCTGATGGTGAAATGCCATGGGACACCGTGAGTATAAATATTTTCATTATTTTAATATAAACTAGCTAGCTCGTTTTTTGAGTATTTCAAAAATTATGACCAAATATTTTTACATCCCACATAAACACTTTCTAAGAAACCGGGAGTTAATGTATGGAATAAAGTAAGGTAGACTGGGTACGGTTGAAACGGTGGACGGTTGAAACAAAGCCAATATCTCGACACCTTGCGTGATGAGGTGAGGAGTGCAAAGGGAGAACGAAGCGGGAGACAAGTCGAAACATGAATTTTAGTGTTGCGTCGCTCTTCGCGCGCTGTGCTTATGTATAGGAGGCTCCATTGTGTTTTTTGACGGAAAAGTAAGTATTTCTGTTCGTACATTTTTTGCAATTATTATGGTTTTATTAAAGTTAGAGTATTGTATCGTTTTATTTGAAGTTTGTAGAATATGGCTGTATGATTGGTTTTTATTCAAATTTATTATCATTCTTACTGTGAACCGTTTTATACCTAGAAGGGGGGTTGGGGACAGTTGAAACATTTTTTGTGGGTATGGTTGAAACAGTTTATTTATTTAATTTTCTTGTTTCTTAGCTGCCAAGTGTACGCCAAAGGAAGACTACGAGAGGTCAGGCCGACTTATCAACGTACAAAGAAGCCTATGAAGATGTAAAAGCCGGATCTTCGTTAAGACCAGCGGCAGAAAATAATGGACTGAACCATTGTTCCCTGTTGAGGTATAAACGAGATACGACTGGTGATGATGAAAATCAATAAATGGGATATAAGACTTACTTTAATTTTAGATGTGCAGACATATATTTTGGCCAAACTAAAAAGAATGCTGTCAAGACCTCGGACTTGAGATGACAACGAAATAGCTGGTGACAAGTTATTCATATTTCCCCGGTCGAGCGACACATTGGTGCTACAATTATACTATTTATAGCTGCAGCATGGCTCTACCACGTCAAAATGTTATCTTTCGCTCTCCACTGCTTACAAAAACTCCAATTGCCTTATTAAAAATAATGATAGATTATAAGTATCATGAAAGACTTGAATATTAATTTAAAAAAATATTTGTGATGTTCAACTGTACAATTAAGAGTCCTAAAATGTTATTAGACGATGAATTAAACATGTTCATTAATTATATTTTGTATTCTTTGTATTTTTCAAATGACCCCAGGCACTGTTTCAACCGACCCTGGCAGGGGGACGGTTGAAACAAATTAATTTTCTTTTTAAATTTGATTTTACACATAAAATGCAATACAGTGATCTCAAATAACATTACCCATTAGAAGACAGATATATGGTCTTTTAATTAATATATTTCAGTCATCGCTCGCTTAACTAATTTAGATGTAATGGACGATAAACACTAAAATGTTTCAACCGTACCCAGTCTACCCTACTAGAGCAAGTTATCTCAGCCCAAAATGTAAATCTGTTCAAAAACCGACATCGCTAACATTTTTTTTAAACTTACAAATCGAAAAACTAGTGGTGATTACAGATATTTATCAGTTGTCTCTTCTGTTTGCCTGATAATACAATTATAATATACTTTAAATTTTTAATAGACAACTTTCCAAATGAATTCGGTCCTAAAGTTAATTTAATATTTCTGCTGTCGTAAGACACTACCAACGGAATTAGAAATCATGAGATGGGCATCAACATCTCCTTAAAAATAACTATTTAGAGTATTTTTTCAATAATATTGTTAAAACTTGCGGTTGCGAACACTTCTACCAAGCGTGGCAACTATAACATATATTTCCAGGTAGGCCTATGTTCAAAGTAGACTTTGATGATGATGATGATAATGATTACTTAGCTCGTAAAATGTCTTTGCTTTGTAGCATGGTGCGGATGACAGCTTACAGTTTGACGTGTCTAGAGATGGAAGTTTAATCGATTTATCAAAAGGCGATTAACACAAAGCAAGGCAAACGTTATCGATTAGCTATCGAGAAAAAAAAATTAAAACCTGAAGATATATTTATTTTTAAATTACAATGCATTATATAAATTTTAGTTATAGTTTTACACAAATGTAGGTGTATCGAAATCGAAATGTGAATGCGAATTGAAATTCGAATCAGTGCATCATATCATAGATATTTTACATTTGATGTTTTTGAAATTTGATGTTAGATGTTCTGTGAAGTGGTGTTGTACTGCAGTGGTATCTAATATATTATATAGTTATTCTGTCGCCCGATATCAACATATTGGATATTGTACTGATTTAAAGATATTGTTTCTAGATACGATTTGTATCACCCACTACTAATTAGTAATTTCCAGTTGAGTTTATATTGTTATTACTTTCTACTATTGAGTTTATTGTTGTTTCGTTGAATTAATTTTTGTTATTTGTTGAGTTTGTTCATTTAACATGTCGAAACGAACAAAAAAAATGTTTTGTGGAATCAAGTGATGAGGTTAGCCATTCGCCTTCGAGCGGCGGAATAAATACCTATAATATTATTTAATTTCTTTTTGTTAATTTCGCCACCTTTTCATTTATTTATTTATTGTAGTAATGATTCGTAAGTTAGTATACATGAATATGATGATATTGCACTATAGATACATACTAAAACAGTTATTACTAGTAATGTTACTTAATTTTTGTATTAAATATCTTACTTAATATTAGTCAAACTCAAGCTATGATTGTATTGGGTTGACAGTTTTCTACCGTCTTCAAAAAGGAGATACTCAATTCGACTGTATGTCTTTTTATGTGTATTACCTCATTACTTTTTCCTGAGTGAACCGATTTCGATGATTCTTTTTTTGTTTGAAAGCTGGTGTTTCTCATGTGGCCGCATATAAATTTGATCAACTAATTCACATCTCTACTTATTAAAAAACCATTATAACTAGCAAGCATAGTATGTGAGATTTTTTGAACTTAATCTTAATCTTATAGTCATAATGGAGTAGAAAAAATAACTAAGAAATTCAGTGTTCTTTTTTCACAATATTTTGTTTGCTATATTGTAAACGCACGCAAGTTACGTTCTAGGGAACTGTCATCCGCACCATGCTACAACGCAAATGCTATAACTGACCGCCAATCAGACCCAAACATGCAACCGGGACCGCGTGGGAGCTATTTGAGCGAGATAGTACTTCACTTATCCGAACAGAATAGGCCAATTGCTACCTACTGTTCCTTAGTTTCATTGTTACTTCAATGTTATAAAAAAATGCAGGATGCACGTTAGAAGAGAGTTTCTATTATTAATTATGTTTTCTTTAGAAAAACTCCTCGGTAATGTCGAACGGCATGTCTAACGGGCCGCCGCTGTCGATGCCTCCGTGTTCGGAGGCCGGCGAGTCGGCGCCGCCCGCGGACTCCAGCGACTCGCCCTGCCAGCCCGGCCCCAAAGGTACCACCACACCACTGGTACAACTCTTTATCTCACAATACCATATCACTCTTTCAACAGATACACTGGCAACACACCATTCACATCATTATCTATGCACTTAATTTTACACGAAGAAACAATAATTGTATTTTTCGACTCCAGCAGGTGTAAAAATACCGGATGAGAACCTTACACCGCAGCAGCGCGCGCACCGCGAAGAACAACTCGCTACAATTCGCAAGATGCAGCAAATGCTGTTTCCGGAAAGCGGCAGTAATTCGGGACCAGGACCGGGCGAAGGCTCGCAACAATCCAACGAACACAATCCCCCGAATTCAACCGCAAACATAAACATGCCATTCCCACCCATGTCTGGCATGGGCCCAAACGGACCCATGGTTTCGGGACCGAACGGACCTATGGTTTCAATGTCCAATAGCATGAACTCTGGTCCCAGTTGTACGATGTCCGGACCTATGGGTCCAAATGGCCCGATGGGTCCAGGATCAATGGGACCTGGAGGCCCTATGGGTCCGAATGGCCCTATGGGTGGACCAATGGGCGGAATGGGTGGGCCGGGTGGAATGGGTATGGGTGGACACGGATCTATGGGACCTAATGGGATGATGGGACCAAATGGCCCTATGATGTCAGGGATGGGTCCCAATGGTCCTATGGGTCCCATGGGCCCATGCGGGATGAAAGGCATTAGAGGAGCTTGCGGTGGTCCTGATATGAAATCGGGGATGTGTACAGATATGCATATGGGTAGGGGATGTGGTGGTCCTATGGGGGTGAGTATTATTATTTTACTATTTTAAGGAAATTTCTTATTATTTATTGTAGTTATAATGTAGGAGTGTGTATAAATTGCACCACTAACTCAACCTACACAGTAGTCAGTTTAAGATTCTCTTTAGTAATATATAGAGGTGAGGTGAACAATAAGGGTGTTGAGCGACCACTGTGACATTATTTTATGTGATTAATCCGTCTGTTAGTTGTTATACATAATACATAAATAAACATATAATATATATAATAATAAATATATAATATCGTTATATTATATTAAATACTCATGTGATATTATACATTTGTTTGAAAGTGTACCTACATTGGCGAACTGCTCTCACTGGTCTTGCTCCATGCCTCCATGCTTACTACTTTTAGAATTAGTATATTGTTTTGAATAAAATTGAGTGGTAACAAATTATAATTGTAAAGAATAATTAAAACTTAAATATTAATTTGTAAGACTGTATAATTCATAAAGAATAATATTTATATTTTTTATATAAATTTGTTTTACAGCGCATGCCAAATCCGATGGGCGGTATGGGTGGACCTAAGCCGTGTATGATGGGTGGACCGCATATGGGACCTCGTATGATGCCTGGACCTAACTTAAATGCAATGAATGGTAAGTTAAATCGTTTGTTTCCCTTAAAATTATTTATCTGTTTAAATGAATTAATAGTATATAATTTTGTCCCTAAAAGCCCCTATTTTTAATAATTTAACTAGTTTTATACCTTAGACTATAGTCCATAGTTAATATGAAATAAAAAAGATTTATTAACACTCTTGTTGTAGAAAGAAACGGGGAAATGACTATTGATATGTTTTGTTTCTCATACATACCTCCACATTTAGTGTACAGCGTTATAGTAAAGAGAACAGAGTCCATAAAAATCAACATATGTCTGGCAATTCATCTATAATATTCATATCTATAATATTGTTATAATTGCCATGTATGAAAGAATTACCCAACACCCCAATGCGTTGTAGGATATTAACATTTAACTTTCATGGTAATGAATGTTCTATTTTTCTCCATGACTGTGTTGTGTGCATTAGAAATTATGTTTGTATTTTACTATTTACCTGCAGGGGGTATAATGATGGACGGCAATATGATGAGCAGCATGGTGCATGGTGATTGCGGGCCCGAGCACCATGGCATGCCCGTCAACGGACCCATGTGCGATGAATACGGCCGCGGACGCAATGTAAGTGAACACTAAGTCTTATTTCCTCAAATTGGAAGTCGCTGATCGCTGTAAAATCGGGGCTTAAAATTTTGAACACTTCTTTTAATTATCTCTAATGACACAACAATTCTTTATATAATACGGTTCGTGTACGGTACATATTACGCTTATTACGTCTGATAATCGCTGATTACGATTGGTGAGAAAAGGAAAAGCTAACCGACAGCACATTTCATTAATCACTGTATTTATAATCATTTTAAAACGAACTTTTGAAGATTTTAAAGATTAAAATAAAAAATAAAACACGTGCATATTGTTTGGGCGCAGCCTATTTATTTTACTTGTTTGCAATACTCTAGTTGTTAAAAATAAACGTTCAGAATACAGTAGAGAAACAGATTGCTGTTTCTCTACTGAACGCATTGGCGTGCAGAATTAAAACATACACAGACATGCGTTTTTTATTGTATTTTGTAAATATTATTATTGTAGGAATTGTGAAGAATTGTACATAATAATTGTTGTTAATGACTAATCGTAGAATAATAAAAATCGGTGGTTACAAAGAATCCTAATCGTAATTGTTGTATCACTAATTATCTTGCATTTAGTTTTCTTTTCATCTCAGTTTTCACTATAGATAACAATAATTTTTAATAATAGTATTTTGTAATGTTTTATGTTGCATAAAAAATAATCTATTCTAAAAAAAGAAGCTAACCTAAAATCAAGTAAGTAGTGTTTTATGACTAATTATCTCTATATATAAAAATCAATTGTTGTCCGTTAGTCTCGCTAAAACTCGAAACTGGCTCGACCGATTCTGATCATTGAAGTAATATGTACTTACGTACTAGAACAGCTATTTCAAACAAAAAATGTGCGCTACTCATGTCTTCGCGCATGCGCTGTTGGTTTTTATCATAGATTATGCGTAGGAGGCAGAATGATCAGTATGTAATAATAGATTGTATTGTTATATATGTAAATTATATCGAGTACAATTTTTAAAATTTGTCATATATTTTGTATATAGTATGTGCTAATTTAATATAATGTTACATAATTTTGCCGTGTAGTGGCGGTCAAGAATATCCACTACCCCATATCCTCCCGTGGGTGTCGTAAAAGGCGACAAAGGGAAACAGGCAGGAGATGGGCAGCAGCATCTTCTTGATAACAACAAACTAACAATAAAAAAAAACTGCGGTTGCCAACCCGCTCGCCAAGCGTGGCAACTATGGCAAAAATCCCCCTATGAATGACAGTAACAAAGAAACGGCCCCCAGTCCCCGGCGGCCCCGCTATTCCTGACTACGGTGGCGACCATGGTAACGGCGGGGCAGGGGGTGCTAAGAATCTCCGGTGGAGGTTCGGTTGCCACCTTAGACGACTCGACCTGGCAACGTACAACGCACGCACCCTGAGGACTGACGAGAAGATCGTGGAGCTGGAAGAAGAGATAGACAAGTTGCGCTGGCATATTATAGGATTATCCGAAGTCCGAAGAGAGGGGGAGGACACGGTAATCCTCGAATCCGGCAACTTGCTCTATCACCGGGAGGGCGACCATCTGTCCCAAGGAGGTGTCGGATTTATCGTCCACAAGTCTCTCGTTAACAACGTTGTAAAGATCGGGAGTGTGTCGACGAGGGTTGCGTACCTTATACTTAGAATCACCAAACGGTATTCGCTGAAGGTCATACAGGTTTACGCACCAACCTCGGCACACCCCGATGAGGAGGTGGAGGAAATGTATGAGGATATCTCTAGAGCCATGCATTCCTCCAAAACCCAATATACGGTGTTAATGGGAGACTTTAATGCAAAACTAGGCACAAGAGAGAACGGTGAGCTGAAAGTAGGGAAATTTGGAATAGGGCAACGGAACCCAAGGGGCCAGCAGCTGGCCGACTTCATGGAGAAAGAGGGACTCTTTATGATGAACTCTTTCTTCCAGAAGCGGCCCCACAGGAAGTGGACCTGGTCGAGCCCCGACGGTTTGACAAAAAATGAGATTGACTTCATTATGACGACCAGACGACAACTGTTCAGTGATGTCTCCGTGATCGCGAGGGTGAAAACTGGTAGCGATCACCGAATGGTTAGAGGCACACTGAACCTAAACGTTAAGTTGGAGAGGTCTCGTCTAATGAAGTCAACGCTCCGTTCCCCTCGTGCTCTAATCCAAAGTCCCGAAACCTTTCAGCTCGAGTTACAAAACCGTTTTCAGTGCCTAGAAGACTGCAATGAAGTGGACGATATGAATGACAAGCTCGTGGAAACTGTCCATGCGGTCGGAGCTAAGTTCTGCAAGACCCGCCGCAGAAGAACACAAAAACTCCGATCACACTCTTAATCTCATGGCTGTTAGACGGGAGATGAAGCTACATTCTTCAACAGACTTGACAGCATACAGGCATCTGAACAGACAGATCTCCAAATGCATGCGGCGGGACTTACGCAACTTCAATACAGCTCGTATTGAAGAAGCGATCGAGCGGAATCAAGGCTCCAAAGTCTTTGCCAGAGATCTGTCTGCCAGAAAGAGCCAACTGTCAAAGCTGAAGACAGAATGTGGCAGCATCGTTTCCGGGACACCTGAGATTTTGAGTGATATTGAGAGGTTCTATGGGCAGTTGTACACGTCATCGTTGGAGCCACACGCAAGTGTGAGTAACGATCCAAGAGCGAGTCTCATCCGACACTATTCCGAAGATATCCCGGACGTCAGTCTGAGCGAGATTAAAAACGATAAGGCCCCAGGCGAGGATGGAATTACAGCGGAGCTTCTGAAAGCGGGTGGAAAACCGGTACTTGAAGTCCTTCAGAAGCTCTTTAAAACCGTCCTCCATGGTGGCATTACACCGGAGGCGTGGAGCAGAAGTGCGGTGGTCTTGTTCTTCAAGAAAGGTGACAACGCTCTCTTGAAGAACTACAGACCGATTTCCCTTCTGAGCCGCGTCTACGTGCTGTTTTTGAGAGTCATTACGAATCGTCTCGCGCGCAGACTTGACGACTTCCAGCCTCCCGAACAAGCCGGTTTCCGAAAGGGCTTTAGCACCATAGACCACATACATACCCTTCGGCAAATTGTACAGAAGTCCGAAGAGTACAATTTGCCACTATGTCTGGCGTATGTGGACTATGAGAAAGCCTTTGATTCCGTCGAAATTTGGGCGGTGCTGCAGTCCCTTCAGCGGTGCCAAGTTGACTGTCGGTATATCGAAGTGTTGAAGTGCTTGTACAGTAGGGCTACAATAGCTATCCGAGTACAGAACCAAATTTCCCTACTTTCAGCTCACCGTTATCTCTTGTGCCTAGTTTTGCATTGAAGTCTCCCATTAACACCGTATATTGGGTTTTGGAGGAATCCAACTTCGACCGAGAGGTCAATCGACGGATTCAACTCGGCTGGGCAGCGTTCGGGAAGCTACGACACATCTTCTCGTCAGACATACCTCAAAACCTTAAAACCAAATTGTACAACCAGTGCGTGTTGCCGTATGAGAAAGCTCAAGGTCGCACAGCGAGCTATGGAGAAGGGCTATGCTCGGAGTTTCTCTGCGTGATAAACTTAGGAATGAGGATATCCGCAGTAGAACCAGAGTAACCGACATAGCCCAACGGATTAGTAAGCTGAAGTGGCAATGGGCCGGCCATATAGCTCGAAGAACCGATAACCGATGTGGAAGAAAGGTTCTCGAGTGGCAGCCTCGTACCGGTAGGCGAAGTGTAGGGCGTCCCCCCACGAGATGGAGTGACGTCCTGGTAAGACATGCAGGAAGTCGATGGATGCAGGTGGCTCAGGACCGTGCTTTGTGGCATTCTTTGGGGAAGGCCTATGTTCAGCAGTGGACTTGTGAAGGGCTGTAATGATGATTATGATACATAATTTTATATCAGAATTACATTTAAATGATATTTTTATTTGAATATTTTAAAAGGTAAAATATAAAAAAAAAACATACTAAATGTATTTGTAACAAAACTTATTGATATAACATATAATTTACAAATATATTTATTTAGATTAGAATAAGAGTCGTTCATAAATGCTGGGCACACGAGACGAGAGTTAAAAATGGATGAATTTATCCCATTATTCCCTATTTTCATGGCTAAAGACGTGAAAACCTAAAAATAAAATAAAAGAATAATCAAAAAATTTAAATATCAGAAATTTAGCCTAATTATGAATGCTTTTTTTCTACAAAAAAATAACATATTATGCACAGTTATTCTCATACTTAATTACCTACAGAAACGTCGCATCTGAACAAATTAATTTCATAATCTATTTATCATGATCCAAGATTGTGTCTTTTGAATAATTAGTTTGATTATTAATCTATAATACTTTTTATTAAATATTTTACACACTGATGAATAGTTATTCCTTGGTATTTGCTAACATTTCTTGAATTATTTGTGCAATGTCTAAAACACACCATGGCATATTATATCAAGATTTTTTTTTATATAATCAACACAGCATGTGTCAACTCACAAGCGCCTAGCGAGCGACTGAGTAAGTGCGGCAATATCACCGTGGTTGAATGGGACAGCGTAACATAATGCAGTGTCGCCTCTAGTACGTAGTACATAATAGCTCAATGATTCTGATTAAATTTTTTGTGCGTTTGAGTGGATCCCTGTACGGTTTAGATCTACAATTGGGCACTGTCACAGTGGAGCTGTTGTCGAGATCCAGAAGTGACTCGTGTGAAGCCGGGGCGGATCGCTAGTTTATAATAAAATAGGTCGAAATAAATGTTTTTATTACCTTATAGTTTTAAACAAATTTCATCTATTTTACTTACCTTTCTGTTTTGTTCTTGATTGTACTAATGAAGATATTTATAGTGGTCAACTATACGTCATAAAGTATACATAGTTGTCAATTTTCCACAAGGGACTTTTTTTTTTCTCAGATGGGTCCTGGCGACCCGGGCGGGCTGGGCCCTGGCCACAAAGGGGGCCTTCGAAGCCCTAAGAGTCCATCGGCTGGTGCAGACATCGACTGGCAGAAGCTACATCATCAATTCTTCGACGACCCTAAGTCCATGGATACTGACCTCAGTAAGTAAAAATTTACTTTCGGATACATATTATTTTCTATTTTTTATCGCTGTTCACGTAGTATGAATCAATGCAGCATAAAGGACACAACCGTTTTTGGGCCCACTAGAAATTTTAATGATTCTCAATGGGTATAACATAAAAAAGATACCAATTTATTATAGTAAATAGCCTAAAGATTTTATGAAAATCTAAACGGAATCAAGATCTCTGAAAAAAAAAAGAGTTGTTATTCGTCTTCAAATCATTGGTTCTGGTAATGTAATATTAAAAAAAATAATTGTAGAAGAGATGTGCCAACTCGGAAGAAACTTAACTCGAATAGAAATTTTCCTTCGCTTTTTGTTTCCTGAGTTTTAAAATGAAATTTCAATTTTAAGTTGTGTTTTTTTTACTGTTTTGACTTTTGGAGCAATCCTGTCTGCAACCTCCTTTCAGTCCAGTAATAACCCTGACATTGCTGTCAGGTCTGGGGCACGTAAAGTGCAATTTACGTAGAACGGGAGATAGTCATAGTCAGTTATAGTTATTTATTCCATAGAACAATATTACATTGTATTAGAAATTTATTACATGGATAAAGAACAACATTTACATGCAATAATTTTAAATAAAGTTAGAATCGATAAAATTTAAACATCATTTAACAAAATTAATAATTACTTTTCATGTCATAATAGATGATAAATTATACAGTACATAAACAATAAAAATTAACATTCATTAAGTTTATTTTTGTGATTTAGGTAATCGTCAATTGAGTAGTAGCTTTTTTAATTAATAATGTTTTTAATTTATTTTGAAATTTGTGGTAGCAATAAATAGTTTTAAATGAGGTAGGCAAAGAATTAAATAGTCCAATGGCGTGTAAGAGAAATTTTTAAATTTAAATGTCCCTCACACGACTCAATTTGTGGAATACGTAACATGGTACGGATGGCCCTTTTTTGTAATACAAACACTGCCTTTATATTATACTTATAACTATTGCCCCAGAATATTATGCTATAACGTAGTTTAGATTCTACTAGAGCAAAATAAACCAATTTAAGCTGCTTTCACGCAACTTCTCGTAAACTTCTTAAGGCATAGCATGCTGAAGTGATAGTAGATTCTTAATTTCCTTTTTCCAATTTAAATACATGTCAATGTGGATTCCTAGAAATTTAACGGATTCAACAAAGTCAATATTTTTATACCGTCAATGTTAACGTTTATTGATTCTTTTTGTCTAGCTGTAGATTTGAAAAGCATTGCGTATGTTTTATTTGTATTTAATAAAATATCGTTTGTAGTAAACCAAATTCTAAAGTCTTACACTGTGTTATTCATTTTGGTATTTAATTCGTCTACCGAGCTAGCAGATACAATCGCGTTGGTATCATCCGCATAAATAGTTAATTTTACATCATGCTGTTTGGTATGTATGTAAGCAGTTAAATCGTTAATGAATATTATAAATAATATGGGTCCCAAAATGGAGCCTTGTGGAACGCCCTTCTTTATGGTTGTCAATTTAGAATTGTATACCGTTTTGTCACCGTCTATTATTGTTTTAATCTCAACAAATTGTTTCCTATTTGATAAGTAGGATTCCAAAAATATTAAAATTGAGCCTCTAATTCCGTAATATTCCAATTTCAGTAGCTATCATGTTCATGTCATCGTGTAGTATATCATGGTTTATCGTGTCAAATGTCTAACTTAAGTCTAAAAATAGACCTCCTACCTTATATTTATCATTGAGTCTACATACTACATCATCAACTAGCGTATTTATAGCATCTATACTACCTACACATGTTTGATACCCATATTGGTGGCTCTCATTAAATATGGAGTTTTGTCGTAAATGTGCTACTAATCTTACCTTTATTAGCTTTTCATAAATTTTTGATAAAATAGGTAGCAAAGAAATTGGTCTATAGTTTTTGGTTTCCATTTTACTTCCCTTTTTATGTACCGGAAGTACTCGCGCAATCTTAAGTTAATCAGGAAACAAAGTTTGTTCCACACATTTGTCGAAAAGGTAAGTTAAAAGTTCAGCCAATATATCAATATTATCTTTAATAATCATGATGGGTATTTCATCATAACCATGTGATCTTTTATTTTCCATTTGCCTAACCGTTTTTAAGATTTCATAATAAGACTAGTAATAATGTTAAAACGCATATCTGTCACTACTCTCTTCACACTTTGTTCCAAAATTAATTGTGCGGAGATTGAATCACTAGAAATGTTACTTAATGAATAAGTTTGACTAAAATGGTTCGAGAAACATTTACTACATCCTGTTGATGACGTATCATGTCATTGTTTACTTTTATGACTAAATTATGTTCTTTTTTACTAAACGATTTCTTCCTACTATCATTTACAATATTCCAGATTTCTTTATTAGAATTTATCGCCAATTCAATTTTTCTTTGTATACTATTTGTTTTGCTTTTCTCAATATTCTTCTATATATCTGTATATGTATCTTTTATATTTATCTGCAAACACTCCATTACATATTTTAACATTTAATTACAGAAACCTCTTAATCTTACTAGATACCCTAATACCTTTAGTGATCCACTGTAATGTATTTTTTTTACCTACTTTTCTCGTTTTTTTTATAACAATGTTTGAAAGTATAACTCAATTTATTTAGAAAAGAATTTATTCTAGGTTGTACGAATTTATTCTGCAAATTAGCTTTCTAAACTCTGCTGAGTTGTGGTCACTTTAAACTCTACGACTAATCTTAATACTTTCATTCATGTTACGACTTATTTGATTTTCCTATTCTACTGTACAAAATAAACCAGCGTGACCATCTGCAAGACCATTATGCTTTACCCCACTGTCAATATTTGTAGTATCCATATTAGTAATTACATTGTCAAGACAAGATGTTACATCATTGCGCAAAAAAGTTGTTGAGTCAATTAAATATTTAAAATTATAACAAGTGGCGGGCACTTCCCGAACGGCCCTTAGCCTCTCGGGAAGTGTCCGCTAGCTTTGACCTGTCACGCGAATAAATTAAAATGTTTCACACTACATATGCGGTGGAAAACTGTGGGTCGTCCTCATTTAAAGAAAGGAATTAGTTTCATCAGTTTCCACACACATTAACTTGCTTAAACGTGAAATAAAATAAAATCAGCTTATTTTATTTTTTTATTATTTCCCGTTCTGACAACCCTAGCAATTTATTGTTTATGTCGGCTTTTCCGACAATATCAAACGCGATGACTGACTGTATGTTCTTCTTAAGCTTTTCCCCGGTCACTCGTCATGCTTTCCGTCACCAGCCTGTATATTTTTGTTCAGAATTGTGGATTTATTTTCCACCCGGTCAGTTGGTCGCCAGAGCCTCGTCAGTTTATGCGCAAGGTTCATGTTCATACATGCATTAAACGCACATATATACCTAAATATGTCCTGCGCAGATAGCTTACCGTTGAAACTGGTCGCCGTAAATGAAATTCGGTCTTAAGAACATTATTATTATTTTATTATAAACACAAATAATAATTGGGATGAAATTACACGTGAAAAGTGATGTAGTGATCCTGTACAAACTTTAGGGTGATAATGATAAGTGTTTGCTTACAGGTACACAAGTAAAATCACCCTGTTCAGAAAGAGGAGGATGTCTACCGCCACCACCCTATGGTGCATCTCCATTACATCGCTCCGCGTCTGTGCCTATAGGTAAGATTATAAAATAATTCAACAAAATAATATATACATATGAATAAATTTTTAGGCATGAAGAAATACAAAGAAGAGGACAATTGTCATAGAAGAAGGCGTTACTTAATGTTTTTCTGGCAACACTTCAGAACAGTCTTTGAGACTAATATCACTGAATTTTTCTACTTATTATAAGTCTGTGCTTGCCTACAATCCCACCTGGTGGTAAATGGTGCTGAATGTAATCAGAACCAACAATATATAGTTCCGTTTCAAAACAAAAAACAAGTTATCTTGTCGTTACTTTCTGCTGCTGTTTGATTAAATGCCCCTCGGGCCCTTTTGAGACTTGATTTGCTCGCGGTTATAAAAATAATCTACCAAATGTTGGTCTCTCAAACTTAAGCTTATGAAGCCTATGTAACAAGTCAGGCTCTGCAAAGATGCTAGCTAGTTTTTTGTCATCAATTTATATCAAAACACTAAATTTTCTATTAAATTTCCATTTTAAAATTTTTATGGCTTCATTTTTGTATGTCCAAATTACAACACAACTTATTTAGATCCCTGTAGTCCCTATTCATACTGTATAATATACGTTTCTACGATATGGAATTTTTTGTCTCCTATTTCTAAAGAATAAATAATGGTCATCATCATCGTCATCATCAGCCCTTCAAAAGTCCACTGCTAAACAAATTCCACCTCCAAGAGATGCTGCAAAACATAGTCCTGAGTCACCTGTATATCTGACTTCCTGCATGTCTTATCAGCTCGTCACTCCATCTAGTGGGGGGCCGCCCTACACTTCGTTTACCAATAGTAGGTTGCCACTCGAATTTATATCGATTTAAAATCAATCTGAGTATTCATGATATCGATTTAACAGTTTTTAAAAGCTGATTTCAAAAATTGCGTGAAAATAGACACCTAAAAGTTGGCGTTGTTAAGTTGATATAGTAGATTTAGATTTAGAGAGACCGAGTGCCACAGACACCAATAATATTTATGTACAGCCACTGCGTCGCCATCACATGGTTCGGTGCAAATGCCAATGTCGGCGGAAACATCCCGGGCCAGCTCCGGACTAAACAGCCCTGCGCACTGCAAGCCCGGCCATAAACAGGAAGCGCCAGGTCGGTAGCGCATGCATCCACACAAATACACGTGCACACACACTCGCACACATTAAACTTTAGCAAGTTGCCTGCAATAATCTCTGTGAAATTTTGTATTAAATGATCAATTCAAATCAAACCACAGTTTAAATGTAAATGTGGTGTAAATTTAATGCATTATATCGACTGTTATTTGTATTATTAAGACATAAATTCTAAGTCGAAATTTAAAGTTATTTGTACATTTAAATCTTTATTAAGTAAAAGACACCATCAGTTAATTAAATTAAAAAAGACAGGACTAAACACGTTTCCACTAATTAATAATAACCTTTTTAGAATCTAAAAGTTTTACTATTTCACATAATTAACACGAACATTTTAATTCAGACTAAAATCAAAAGCCATAGAAGTAGCAGTGCATGCAATAATTTACTGTGTTAGACATTTTCCCAACCACAAAATTGTTTTTTGCATTTTACATTGAAATTATTTTTATTTAGTTGATGTGCGTTTAGATTTATTTTTGTTTTCCGTAGTTGTAATGCATATTTTTTGTTTTCCCCCTCCCCCGCAAAACGCTTGACGCTTGAAATCCCAACGTGTGACGAAATAACAACGAAAACCCACTAAAATTCTCAACATAACGGGACACCGCCGGTACGCTATAACGGATTAAATCACCTTATTGTATGAAACAAAACGGCCTGCTAATCACTTACGTGCGATATATTGGACAACATTGAATACAAAAGAAATACTCGAAAAACTAGACGATGGTGTGTTTGTCCGAACCCTACAATGTTTGGCAGCGCAACAGCAGAAGAACCAACAGAATACACACGGAAAGGAACCCAGTTTGATGCCCGTGCCATCTCCGCAACAAATATCATATCTCAACCAATTCGAAGGTAACTAACTAGCTTGCTCGTAAGAAAATGATCCAGGCATTACATCATTAACTTATTAGTAGTAAAATCTTTATAATAAATAACCATTCGGTTTCAAGGTATTTTTTTTCATTCAGCCCATACTGTCTTATCATAAATTCATAATGTCTTATCATAAAATGAAATGGAAATCGGGTTGTAATCGATTGATAAATTATATAAAACATTTGGATTTTTAATGCAATTATTTTGCCATATCATCCAGTGGGTCTCATAAGATGACAGAGGGAAATCAAACAGGAGATGGGCAACAGCATTTTCCTGGTATCAACTCAAAATGACGACGGCGATGACGACGATTACAATGCTGTTTAAACAGCCTTCGATAGTTATGAAATCTACGAGACCATGCCTTGATTATTACTGTCATACAAAAAAATCGATTTACTCTGACTCTCTGACCTCTTTTTCTTTATCAGCCCGTAAAATTCCACTGTTTTACATTGGCCTTTTCCGTAATGTTTCTGATTTTATCTATGTATTTTGTTTACGTAATTTGTTTATATTTTAATTGTTTAAGCATTTGCATACCTTTCGAATATCGAAATAAGATAGTGTGGGCGGAATGTTCCATTTTTGAATAAGATAAATAAAATTTATTTTACTTTTATGTAAACCAAATACATGTCATTAAGATTCGCTTTTCATTTTTTAGGAAATGCTTAGATTTTACCCTGTGATTTTCTTATGTGTGCTATTTATATATTTCTCATGTTATAAAATGTCTTCAATGTTTGTTTGTTTTTGATTTTGCTTGTGTAGTTGCTCCCAAGGCTTTTGTTATAAAGCGACGAAAATTATTTAATATTTTTTTCCATTTACTTGTATTTTAACTTGCTGTTACATTATTCTCATTTTGGTGGTGGTTGGTGAAAATGTGCTAACATACTTTCATACTCTATGGCTAATTTGTACTTGTGTCGTTTACGTATCCTCTATACTCGCAACAATCTAAAAGGTTCGATTTGACCCCTTTCAAAATATTTGTAGATAAATTCAGATCTCAAACCGATTCTTGAAACATCGGTTAACATACTTACCTACATACTTAGTTTAAGTTAGAGCGCGTGCAAATACCCGTCTCAATGGAGATGCTTGTATGTAATTCGAGTCAGATTGAAGTGGACGTCCATGTCTTTTGTGTAATAAAAATTAAATATGTCAAAATTATTTTAATTGATAATCTTGTAAATTATAGCAAATTAAAAGAAAACCCTTAGTGATAGATCCACAATCAGTTGTGAGTGGTTGAGCTATTTTAGACCCTAAAATCCGCACCCTATAGAGAACAGAACTACAGTAGCCGAAAACAGAAGTAGCTTTGTGGTTTTTCTTTAAGAAAACATGTTATTCTATGATGTATTAGAAAAATTACAGCACTTGAATTATAATAGTAAAATTAAATTTTACTTTGCATGACTGCGTTGTGCGCAGTTATTAGGTAACATTGTAAACATAACTGAATATAATCGATAGAAAACGCCTTTTCCAGTGTCTTACAGACAACAAATTGTCTTTGGAATGGTGTGTACTTTTTCAGTAGTTATGTTGTGTTACTGCATATTATGCTTTATATAAATGTACATAAATTATAATTTTCTGGTCTAGGTAAAAAAAATCAATTTTAAAATACAGTCATAGCGAGAACCTTTTATTATTGTGATCTATTAAAATATTCAACAACTTTTTGACAAATTATGAAGAAGTAAACATTTTATGTTCAACAAATATCGTTTTTACAAATGATAGTAATTTTTTTTAATTTTCTTTTATAAAGACTTTACACACATTGTTTACACAACATACCACACTAGCTACTTCTCCTGTGTTCCAGTCCTGGAACTATTATTTGTAAGGCCATACAATTGTTTGTTCCGTGTGGAATTTGCACCCGTACCCCGTAGTCTGCTGCATAAACACTTCAAATTATTTTTGAAGTATACAAATAACATAATAATTATGTAGCATTTTTATTAATGGGTATATATAGTAACAAAGTAATGACGTCATACCAAATAAGAAACGTCAAATCGGACCTGTTAGATTTTCGGGGGTATATACAATTGACAGTTTAAACGCTTTTAGAGTGTCACATGTTTATGAAAAGTTTAAGTTAACGTTGTATTTTGTTTTATTAGGCCAAGAGTTAACAATACAGAAGCAACCAAACACGTCACTGAAAGACAATGGACCACCTTCTAACAGCGGTAGTCAGACCCCTCAGTCGAACTCTAATCAGAAATCACCAGCCGGGTAAATATTTTTGTTTTTAAATATATATGTTTTCTAGCATTAGAAATATGAAAAAGTCCTGAGAATATAGAAAAATCCATTGCGTTGCTCCAGTGTGGGCGGCGAATTTGAAATCAATGGATCAATAGCGAAATTTTCAATTCAGTTTCATTTACTATGTTTTTCTTTAACGCTGTTTATTAAGAACTTACTATATTTAACTATTTAATAGTTACCTGCGGCGAAGGAAATCAGTATGAAATGGTTAATTTTTAATAATACCTAACTATTGTATAATATATCTCTCACATAATATCCCTAAGCATAAATCTACTCAATATATAATTGAAAACATAGACTCGGATATTTACATATTAGATTTGTTGGAGAATATAAAAAGCTATGCAAAAATAAAAAGTAAAGTTACAGCAGCCTAAAAATACGTCCCACAGCTGCTGGACACAGGCCACAGGATTTGCGCGATTAAATGTTGCGCCGTTCCTAATGCACGTTGACGGACTCCACGTGTATTCGAAATATTTATAACTCCTTAAACTTGCAAGTTTTCTGGCGTTTCTTTTACCACTAATCACGCACACACGTACTAACCACGCATACGTAAGAAAAAAAAATTGTTTCTAATATGCCGGCGGAGTTGAATACGGGTTGTTTTCGCCTACTGTAAAATTCATGGCGAGTGCGTAGCCGCTGAACTACGACAAAAAGTTATGTACTGATAATTTAATGTCTGCCAGCATGATGCCGGGAACGCCTGAGCCCCACTCGTCTCTGTCGGAGCAACGTACGGGCCGTTTTTCATTGGAACAGAGTCCAGGATTCAATAATCCACAGACGCCTACTTCGGCTGCAAATACTAAATGTGGACAAGGTAGGAGTGACTTTATTTAAATTCGTTACGACATTGTTTTGGTTAAGCTAAGTTTTTATGTTTAAAAGATGAAGTGGTAAACAAGTTTTATTAAAATGCAAAAACTTGCGCCTGCGCTACCACGCACTTGGAAAAGTTCCTTTGACTATGGAATAGTTAAACAAGTGGCTTGGATGTGGATGTCATTGCAGAAAACATTATTGGAATCGATTATGTAGTAGAACTATTTTTATAATAAATAAAAAATAAGAGTGAGTATAGTACAAAATTAACTATATAACAAAAATTTAATTAGTAGTTAAAATTATAATATTACGTTTATAATACAGATTTAAAAAAATGACTAGCTGGCCAGGCAGACGTCGTACTGCCCTCTTCGACTTTATCCTATAAAAATCCTTAAATTACCAATAAAAAATATTGAGGGTCATTTAACGGGATAAGAATTATCCCATGTCTCAAGTTGGACCAAACTGCACACAGTGTGCAAAATTTCATTGCAATCAGTTCAGTAGTTTAAAGAGTTCATCGCGGACAAACAATGTGACACGTAATTTTTATATATAAAGATGATAAATAATATATGTACACAAAATGCATTATGAAAATTAAACATAATTTCAAGAATACTATAACAATAATTATCCAATTAAATTTCAATTATTTACATAATAAAAGGACAAATATCATCACAAATGATGTAGAAGAGATTTGATGATAATAGATGCTTAATTGATTAATCTAACGATTTACATGTAGCATGCTTTTAATTTTTATCACATATGATACCATCGACCTGTCCTGGCTTTGCCTGGGTGGGATCTATTAATGTGGCGTTATTTAGATTTAAGTTAATCATCAAAGACCATTATTTTATACATTTTCGATATTTAAAAAAAATTCAAATAAAATGTAGCCTTGATCACTCCTGGTATTGTTTTCTACCTGTTCGTGATGAAACTTCACAGGTAGAGAACAAATCTGTTCAGCCATCCCGAAGATTAGCTCGGACGAACAGACAGAAAGACAAAATTTTTACAAATGTTTTTTTTTATAGGATAGGGTGACAAACGAGCACACAGTTACCTAACTCATAGATGAGCGGAGGCAGTGCAGTCCAAGGGGGAGGCGTTGGCCGTTAGTTTGGACATAGCGAAGGCTTTCGATCGGGTTTGGCACAAAGGGCTTCTTTCGAAGCTGCCTTCCTATGGGCTTCCCGAGAAATTGTGCAATTGGATCACCAGTTTTCTTGCAGATCAGAGCATCAAGGTCGTAGTAGACGGTGCATGCTCCGATTACAAGCCCATTAACGCTGGTGTTCCACAAGGCTGCGTGCTATCACCAACGCTGTTTCTTCTGCATATCAATGATATGTTGTAAACCAGTAACATTCATTGCTATGCAGACGACAGCACTGGTGATGCTTTATACACCGGCCGTGCCAATATTTCCCGGGAAAACGTCGCCGAGTACCGGAACAAACTTGTGTCTGAAGTCGAGACTTTGTTGAACAAAGTCTCAGACTGGGGGCGACTAAATCTAGTCCAGTTCAATCCCCAGAAGACACAAGTTTGCGCGTTTACCGCTAAAAAGAATCCCTTTGTCGTATCTCCTCAGTTTCAAGGCTCTCCTCTTGTTGCCTCAGCCAGTATCGGAATCCTCGGCGTCGACATATCGAGTGACGTGCAGTTTCGTGGTCACTTGGAAGAGAAGGCCAAATTGGCCTCTAAAAAGCTTGGCGTGCTCAGCAGAGCGGGACAGTATTTCATGCGGGCACACCGCTTGCAACTTTACAAGGCGCAGGTTTGGCTTCACATGGAATACTGTTTCCATCTCTGGGCAGGGGCTCCGCAGTGCCAGCTCCGTCCACTTGACCGCATCCAGCGCAGAGCGGTTCGAGTCGTCGACGACCGAGTTCTTTCCGATCGGCTTAACTCACTGGCACTGCGTAGAGATGTTGCATCTCTTTGCGTATTTTATCGCATCTACCACTGGGAGTGCTCTGAGGAATTGTTCGGACTAATTCCAGCCGCTCAATTTCACCATCGCACATCGCGACAAAACTCGCGATACCATCCACATCATCTGGATGATTGGCGGTCCACCACTGTGCGATTTAGAAGAAGTTTTCTCCCTCGCACAACTTCTTTGTGGAATCGATTACCACCAGCGATTTTTCCGGACCGATACGACTTAGGGACCTTCAAGAAAAGAGCCTACTTCTTTTTAAAAGGCCAGCAATACATCTGCGATTCCCCTCGTGTTGCAGTTGTTCATGGGCGGCGGTAGTCACTTACCATCAGGTGAGCCGCATGCTCGTTTTCCCCCTCTCCTATATAAAAAAAACAGTCCACCTGATGGTAAGTGGTTGCTGTGGCCCATAGACATCTACATCTATGGTCGTTTGCGAATCAAAATGAAGATGCATTATCACCCGTGAGGACTAAGATGGAATGCCTCTTTTCCAGTCAAAAGGTTCTCTATATTCACCATACGAAACACAGTAGTAAAAGCTTTTACAACAATTTACTTCGCAAATATCCGCATTATAAAATAAAATGATGTGTCTTACCTAGTATGAAGAAGCACCTCTCTCCTACTAGGTAAGACACATCATTTTATTTTATAACGCGGATATTTGCGAAGTAAATTGTTGTAAAAGCTTTTATATAATGGATTTCCGCAAAGTAACGCCTGATTCTATTAATTAAACACAGTAGTGTTAAGCTGCTATTTTACGCTGGCATTCTGTGAGAGCGTGTTCCTTCCCCGGTCGAGCTGACCCATTCGTGCTACAACTATACTACTAATATAGCTGCAGCGTGGCTCTACCCCGTATAAAAATTCATGTCTTAATGGCATGCTATTCGCAAGCTGATAAAAGGCAGTTATTTCTAAAGCTGTAGTATATGTTACAAACATACAATCATAATGATACGTAGTACTACATACCTACCAAGAAATAAATCCCCCTGTAGACGTAAAGTAAAACATGAATTTTGATTTATTTGCTCGTTTCAGATGAGAAATCACGTCCCAGCCCATCGTCCAACCGGTCGAGTCAAGAAAACGCGTCCAAAACGCCCCAAAGGGAGTCATCTAGTTTAAACCAGGGCCCGTATGCCCCCGCATCTTCTGCATCCTCCTGCGCCGGCAGCGTCAAGAGCAGCTGTAGTATAGCATCAAGTACAGCTCCCACATCAGCAAGCGGCAATATGGACGACAGTCTAGCAGGCAATAATGAGGTACAAACACAGCCTATACATACAACCTATATATACAAGCAACAATAATTAAAAATTAAAAATTTTGTACAACCGACTTCAATATAAATTATTAAGAATAACTCAAAAACTATTGGTCAGACCTTGATCAAACTTATATGAGACCACATGAGAAGCACCAGCCTTCAAATAAAAAAGAATCATCGAAATAGGTTCACCTAGAAAAAACACCAAAAACATACAGTCGAATTGAGTACCTCGTCATTTTTGACGTCGGTAGAAACAGGATTTTCTCCTAATAGAGAAATGTTATGTAGCAAAGGTTGGTTTCACAAAATTTTATTTTGCTAGTCGAAAAAGGAAATACGGTTATGTAAGATTGATATGCTACTCATATTATTGTAGTTGTTACCCTGTCTATAATAGAGTCATGTTTTTTTTTCCTAAAATGTTATTTTTAAAGTTTAAATTTCCTGTATTTAAATGAATAATGTCTCTGTTCCAAAAGTCCATGATAATATTTTTGTCTTATCAACTACATTTTTCAAGTCTTCAGGATAGTCTGTTTGCATATTATGTCACCACACATTAAGGTCTTGATCTGATTTTAGACAACTCATTATCTTAGGTCCCACATATTATGTACATCTATAAATCGATTATTTATAACCGTAAATCGATTTTATATCGATTCTCCGTATAGAGAGATGCGACAGAGGGAGATGAAACGGGCGATGGGCAGCAGCGTCTTCTTGATAAAAAATCAATAAATATAAAAAAAAACAAGTTGCCAAGCCATCCTGCCCGCCAAGCGTGATACTTTTGGATGGTTGTTCTATGAAACAGCTCACAATTTCCAATAAAAATTTCATGCAACAATTTTTTTTTTGTATTCCAGACCACATTATCAGGAGGTCCGAATAGCACGAGTTTACCCAGTCCATTTCCTGGTCCATGCAGCATGAACAGGCCGGACAACATCCCTATCAACCCCAACCAAGGCCCAAATGGCCCCATGGGTACCTCTACATCTTCCTTTGACCCCATATCGTCGCTCGCTCAGATGTCACAACAACTGACGAACACAGTTGGAGGTGGAGGCCCAGGTCCAACTGGACCCATGGGGCCTAATGGCAGCGGAATGGGACCTTTTGGTTCAGGACCACATCACATGCAGCATCATCACTCGATGCATCCACATGGGCATCCCCATATGATGATGAACGATTTAGGTAATTTTACTGGTAATTTTTTTTTGTTTTTTTTTTAACTTTTTAATCAGTTTATAATGACCAATTGTGTGTTCAGGTTGCCATATGGATAACATGGGAGGTCCGGGTATGGGTGGACCTATGGAAGGGATGATGGGTGGCAGTGATTTTTCTCCAGAAATGAATTTAAGTCCAAAAATGGGCGGAGGTCCTATGGGTGGACCAATGGGACCCATGGGTCCCGATGCCTCTATGCTCGGACCGAGGATGGGTGGAGCGGGGAAAATGCCTCCATTCAATGGAGCTAACGTGCAAGTCAAAGCGAGCGCACCGAACACGATACAGTACCTACCGACAAGGCCCCAGATGCAATGCAATACGGGCCCAAGAGGCCCACCGAGCTTAGACTTTCTACAACGGGTGACAAACCCTATGCAAATGGACAGCAGTAAAGGCGTGCAATATTTCCCCGGAGCGAGAGGAATGGACATGGAAGGTGGGATGCGAGGGGTGATGAGACCACCCGGCGGTATGCTGAGAATGCCGCACTACCCTGCCGGGTTCAACTCACCGCCGAAAATGGCTGGCGATCCTTTCGGCGGAGCTGGGCCTAATCCTATGTGCGGACCGAACTTCAGGGGAGTTAAGGGGGGTATGGGTCCGGGCAACGTTCGTATGGGGTCTGCGCAACCCCTGCCCCCTTCAATGGGGGGCCCTACGGCGGGCTTCAAGGGGCAAGGCTTCGCGGTCCCCTCCACAGCAGACCCCAATTACGCGGCACAGTTTCACAACTTCCAACAGCAATTGTATGCGACCGGAAGCCGTGCAGCCCAGCCGCATCAAGGCTATCCCCCCTACCAACCGTCCAAGTGATGATTGCCCCTCGGGCAGTGTGGACTCAGTGTTAAGGTCGCGGTAGTATAAAATCAGTGAGGCCTCGCGACCGCTCGTGTCGTGTTGTGATATGGACACTTCACATTCGCCGGTCACTCGTGACGGCAACCGAAACGGATCTACGAAACGGCCTGTTGGTATTCATTAAGTTTTATATAGATTTACCGTCAGACCGACCGGTGGTTTTGGTATGTACTTAATTTATCTATATGCCAGTGAAAGAGATCAAATTTTGTTAGTGATTTTTTTATCCGCGTATTATTGTGAGATTTGTTTTTCTTTCAAATGTGTAGAGTTTCGCATAGTAATTTTATTGTTTGTTAGGGTGTCGATTATTTTTCACCTTAGGTCATTATTCTAAATTTTTGACTGAATATGGATTTTTATAGTAGCGAATGCGGATGCGTTTGTACAAATTGTACAAATTTTAGATATTTTATGTACTCTACATAATTTAAAGTACAGTTTTAGACTTTATTTTTGCTAATGGCAATAATATAGTTTTTACCTTTCTTTTTTACACAGACTCGCCAGAATTTCAGTGTATTGGTTCCTTAACTTAGCTATTTTACATAATATGATTCCTATGCACACAAATATCTAGTCAATTTTGAAATTAATGATGCCCGACACTGTGTTAAATGTAATCTGTAATAATCGAGTCCGCAGTTCGGTTACTTTTAATGACACAGAAGTACATAATTATTATGTAACAATATTTTGTCCATTTTAGTTTAAGATTATTAGTAGTGAAATTGGTTTATTTTAATTATTTGGCATGTGGCCAGTATAACATCCGGAGCTAATGTACTAGATCATTAATTATTACTATTTATTCTTTTTTCGATCTGATAGCAATGTTTTTCTGTCTTCCATACCTTTATAAACTCTTAATGTAACTTAAGCAAAAAGTACAGATTTTTTCTGCATTTATTACTAAATGCATTAAAATTACACAGGTCAAAATCAGTTAAGACTTACTTTTAAATCATTTAAAAGTACTTAAATATCTGTTGCCATATTGTTTGCCACATGAATTTAGTTTCGTGATATTTTTAACTGTTCTATTTAATTTATTGCCTACAAAAATCTTTACGAACAATGCCTATATTTTTTAAATGCAATGCAATTCATTTTCTGTAGTAAATATAGAGGAATACTATGCTAGGCTAGTAATCGCACATTGTGAATGTCAATCACAGTGGCCTTTAATGTAAAATATGCCTTCTTTAAGAGCAATTTAAACCCCGGCAGGTGTGGACACAAATACCTAGATTAATTTCTACGTGACATACTTGTAAAGTTAATCGCTCAAATCTAATAACAATCTATTTGAGATTAGAAAATGCGTAAGTGGCATAACGCGAGAAATAGCACAACAGTCCAATAAGAAACACCCGCTAGAAATTAGATAGTCTTAATTAAATGTAATTATAATGTAAGGTAAAGAATGGTTCTTGTTTTAGGCTAAGCGAAGAGCAATGATATAAAATAGTTTGTGTAATATTGTTAAGAGAGGAAATTAAGATGCAAACTATTGGTTGTGATTCCGACACAATTTGTTAAGTTGTTCGTAGATTTGTCACAGAGAATAGTTGTGGGAACTCAACTTACTTCACGATAAGGCCCTTTTTTATTTTATTTTTTGTTTTTTGGATATTTTTTACTTGTCGTTCTCGTTTGTACATCGCTAACAATAATTGTACAGAGTACTTTTGGACTTAATTTAAGGCAATAAATGTATTTATTTTATAACTCGTGATGTAAGAATTTATTCTTAATTATTATAAAAAAAAATATATAATATGCTTGTATACACATGTTTCAATTACACTGTTAATCGTAATAACACGTCAAGTATCCTTATGAATAAGGCAGCCTGGCTGTACCATCCAGGCAGCAGCAGTAAATCTGACATATGACAGTTTACTGAAGCCTGAACACTAGCCAACTGTAGAGCCTGATGTCTTCGATAGAGAACACCATAAAATGTAATCTGTGTTAGAGAGACTTGAATGTCTAGGCTAGTCAACGGTACAACTTGTCCTCCCTCCTGGGTTTTCAATACAACCAACATCATAAACATTGGGCAGGTTATATTACAACCGAATATAACTTTATAATAATTTATGGGGGGGGGGGGGGCTGACAAACTAGCATGCGGCACGGGGATGCTAAATGACTACACCCGCCCCTGAACAACTGCCAACACCATGGAAATTGGAGATGCATTGCCGGCCTTTTAAAGAATACTCTTTTTTTTGAAGGTCCCTAAGTCGAATCGGTCTGGAAAAATCCAGATGGTATGGGTGGTATCGCGAGTTTTGTCACGATGTGCGATGATGAAATTTAGTATTTATGAGGCGGAACTGCGCCTTGTAAAGTTGCAAGCGGTGGGCCTGTCCCGCTCTACGAAGCAACGCCAAGTTTTTTTAGAACGAACGTGGGGTGTCCTGAAAAAAAAAGTTCACTTTAGCGGTAAACGCACAAACTTGTGTCTTCTGGGGTTTGAACTGGACTAGATTTAGTTGCCACTAATCTGAGACCTTGTTCAACAAAGACTACTTCAGACAAGTTTATCCCGGCACTCGACGAATTGTTTCCGAGAAATATTAGCACGGCCGGTTATAAGCTGTCACGCTGTCAATTAACATTAAGAGTTGGATGCAAAAAGCGAGTCTAAAATTTCGGTTTTCTCTTTTGTGGCATGGGCCAGCGAGTCGATCAATGCAAGCCATGGAAGGGATGGCTTACAGAAATTCCCTTGGACAGCCTTGGTGAGAGACCAGAATGCACGAGTTCCCGAAGGAAGGCGAACTAATTTTTCAGCAATTCGGACAATGTGCTCATACTTTGCCCTGGCTATAACTCTTGAAGGACCTAACGGTTGAGTTATATTTAGTTTTAAGGATGCTGGTACTTACATCCCGGGCATGAAAACACCTCTGCTTACTGCGTAATGCGGTTTTATAGGTGCAATAAAAGCAAGTTAAGATCTGCCTCCGATGATCCTGAAGCACCACATCAGTGAGAAAATCAGCAACAACGCTGAGATCATCCGGCGAGAAGCAAGCCTCCATCCACGGTTAGCATGGAAAGAAATACCGCATTCCGTCCAAATATAATACACGCCGGCAGCGTTAAAATATATCGAAGGTGGAAGGAAAAAAATTACCTAGTGATATAGACAACTTTGCAGGAGAGCTGATTAGTTTGAAATTTTGAAAAAAAAAACATCAAATAAATTGTACTGTTTACCCTATCGGAATGATTCTTACTTGATTAAAAAGCTGATTGGACTGTAGTACTTACTATAAGTAAATTCCCGTTTTGCTTAGCATTTCCGAAGTTAGTGTGGCTTAGAAAAAAAGAAGTCACGAACGGAAAAAATCGATTTACCGACAACCGACTCTTAATCAGAGACAGATTAAATGTCGACAGCGCCCTAGACTAGCGCCATTTCGGTGCGGTGCCACTATGGCGGCTATATATAATAATAAATAATAATAATAAGCCTTTTATTTCTACATCTAAATATTTTACATTCTAAATGTTTGTTAATTGTGTTAGCACATTTAATTTATTAGTCTAGTGTTAGTGTGGTTAGCTATTTTCTGGAATGTGGATCCCTCTTGGGTAAAGGCCTCCTTCTTCTCCTTCCATAATTCTCTGTCTTTGCCTAGGGCCATCCAGTCTTGCCCTGCTTTTGCAACGATATCATCAACCCACCGTCTAGCTGGTCTGCCGACATTTCTTTTGCCTAACGGACCTCTCCAACGTGTTGTTTTTATGGTCCATCTATCATCTGTGAACCTAGAGATATGGCCGGTCCATTGCCATTTTAGTTTTAAGGCAGCATCTTTTATTTTTGTTCTTTCTCTGATTGTTTCTGATCTTATTTTGTGTATTTTCCTCATTTTTAATATACTTCTCTCTATTCCCCTCTGTGTTGTTCTTATTTTTTGTTTTATTTTCTGTGTGTAAATCCACGTCTGACAACCATACAGTAAGCAAGGCAGGAGACAGGTTTCAATTATAGTATTTTTCATATTTAATGTATAATCTCCTTTAATATTTCCTTTAGTGACCAAAATTTGTTCCAAGTTATTTTACATCTCCTTTCTATTTCTTCTTCATTACTAGATGATCTGAATGATACCTGTTTCCCTAGGTATATGTATTTATCCACATATTCGATGTGTCTACCTTTTATACTAATAGGGATTCTTTGGCTATTGCTCATTATCTTTGTTTTGGAGGTATTCATCTCTAGTCCTACTTTAGAACTCTCTCGATCAAGTGAGTTTATCACTGCTTCTAGGTCTTTAGATGTTTCAGCAAATACAAATATATCATCTGCGAATCTCAAATGCCTCAAGCAACTGCCAGCTAATTTCAACCCTCTGGTTTTCCAGTTTAGTTTTTTAAATACAGTTTCTAAGACGGCGATAAATAGTTTCGGTGACAGATGGTCACCCTGTCTTACTCCTCTTTCAATTCTTATTTCTTCTCCTCTGGTTTCGAGCTTGCCTCTACTGGTGGCGTTATTATATATGTACTTTAGGATGTTTATATACCTTCTGTTAATGTTCAGTAATGTTAGTGCATTCCAGATAGAGTTGTGACTAATACTATCGGAAGCTTTACTATAGTCTATGAAGGCTATGTATAGAGGTCTCCTGAACTCTTTGTACTTCTCTATTACTTGTCCCAGTGAATGTAAATGGTCAGTCGTACTATACCCTGATCGAAATCCTGCCTGTTCTATTGGTTGCGCTCCGTCAATTTCTGCTGTTATTCTTTATAGCATTATTGACCCAAAAAGCTTATATAAACATGCCAGTAGACTTAGGGTCTGTAATTGCTTATATCAAGAGGGTTACCTTTTTTGTAAATTAGAGTAATATCAGATGAGCACCACTGTTTCGGTACAGTTTCTGTCTCCAGTATCTGATTAAATAGTTGGCTGAATTGGCTAA